TAGATAGAATATGGGGTATATTATTGGGGAAATATAACGGAAAAGAAAAATGGAAACTACTCTTTAAGGTTTAGGGTGTAGGGCTGGATATATAGTCCGCTTTAAGTAGAAAGAATATGGGGTATATTATTGGAGTCATATAGGGATAATGGAAAAGAAGATAGAAACTACTATTTAGGGTTTGAGTTTTAGGGTTGGATGTATAGTCCCCCTAAGTAAATAGAACATGAGGTATATTAAATATGGGGATCTTATTATAACATACCCAAAGCCATATTCTACCTACTTAAAGGGGGACTGTAGTCATTAGGCTTACGGCTTTAGGGGTTCTTGCCTTGCAGGTTCTCAAAATTCTTGGAACTTCGAACATGTCCCCAAACAGCATGGTCCCCTGACTTGGACCTTATCCCTTTGCAACTCGACACACTTCCTGAAAGCTGAGCATGCCCAGTGGAACCCGTGGAATTTCAGAAGCCCTCTTTCAGCCCAAAATTTCCAATGTTATTGTATCGTCCCCTACAAAAGTACTGAAATAGCCTCGAGAACAGGAATAGCGTTTGGGCCTGATGATGTACACCTCCGGTATGAGGGATATGAGGGGATAAGAAATATTTGAGGGTTCCAAGGCTTCTACATTATATAGCTCCCAGATTGGGGTTCCCATGAATAAAGGGTCCCCAATGTAGACCCCAATATACTGTAGCCCCTGTTCTATGTATCCCCCAAAGGACCCCTACGTTGTTTCAAGCCCAAATCCCCATAAACGACTATATACTCCCAGCTTCCATCTCATTTTCCATGCTCTTTCCATTTCATTCTGTGTTCTTGGGGTAACAGCCCCCCTAATCTCGACTCTAAAGCCTATTTCTCTAAATAACGAAACCAAAGTAACTAGAAATTGAATCAACAACATAAACAAGTAGATCAATATCCCCATATGGCTGAGCTCGCCTGGAGGAATCGCGCGGCATTCTCGTCAAGGCCCCAATGCTCCACGAATTGCTTGAGGCTGGGTGCGTTGCTGGGGCCTTGGAGGTTCACACCACCCCTAACCCCTAAACCTGTAGCCCTAAACCAGGGTAGGGTTGAGGCTTTGAGGCTTCAGGAAACACTTCTTATTGCAGAACCATGCAGAACCAAGGGGAAGAACATGGAACATGAACTAGGGACTAGATGATAGGGATTGAATGTAGCGGCCTCAGTAACTATATACACTAGGCTTTTAGGGTATACTGTATGATACGATTAATGATGAAGGGGCTACTATTCCTAGTTATTCGGCCTCCACAGTTGAGCACATTATGAAACACAAATGTTCTACACAACCATACAGACCCCAAGATGCCGCTATCCTTCATAAACAAACCCTTAAACCCTACATCACAAAAAGGGGGCCTCTAACTTTGCGTAACAGGAAATATGTTGCCTGGTTACAACTTGGGTTTCCCCGACCTACAGGTTCGGCAAACACATCGCGCTGCAGGCCCTACGTATAGGGCTTAGGGTTTAGATTAGGGTCTAACCCTACCACACCCTAAACCCTAAGCCCTAAACCCTAGGGTCCGAAGATCCGGTAGCAACTCGAAAGCACTACAGCGCGTCTTCTGCGGCAAGCACTTCAGAGCAAAACCACATGCACCCCAAGTCCCTTGCTTGCAGCAGGGACAGCGCTGTGCAGACAAAGCTATGCATGCTACTGCAGGACTATCCCCCTGAAGTAGATAGATATATGGGGATCTTATCATGGTTTTGGGGAATTCCATGTTCTACCTACTTAAGGGGGACTATAGCTGCAGGCGAACAACCTTGAGTACAACTACTCCTCAGTCCACATTAACAGTGGGCGCCCGCTTACATGAACTCTTCCCTACCTTTACAAGAACCAGCGTTCAGGGTTGTATGCGGGCTTGACGACTTGGCTTACCTAGTTACTGAGTTCCCTGGCCCCAAAAAGGTTAACCTTTGTATTATAATAGGACTATATATATACCCCAAAAAGTTAAAGGTTAAGCTTAGGGTTCTGGGAGAACCTGCAAGAAGGAGCCGAGGCCCGGTCGAGGCTGCCCCCATGACTGCGCTTGCGCCTGATGCGCCTGCACCTGATACGCCTGCTGTTGGTGTTGCGCCTGATTGTACTGCGCTGCCGGCGTGGGGATGGATGACCTCAAGATCGATATCGGCGAGGGTGTTGGGAGAATTCTTGTCCTACGCTGGGTTTAGACTTTCAAGCTGCAGCTAGCAGTATTTGATGAAGGCAAAGGATTGAGGGTTTAGGGCTCTGGTGATGAATGAGACAAGTTGTACTTAAAACCATGATGGTTGTATCGCTGCAACGCTTAGGGTTATGTAGAGTGCGATCGTTACATCCCGCTTCCAAGCCATTTTGCATAGCCCACTCATGAAGCTCAGTCTTTGGTAGGAGGTCCGATTATCCACCGGAGGCCTGCAATGAAGTTGATGATAGGGTTTAGGGTTTAGGGTTTTGCCGAATAATGACGTGGAACTCTCGCCGTCGCGTGGAGGTCATATGTGCTACATCGAAAGGGTTCGAAGGTTGTACAGGCAGTGTTAGGTGCCTTGCAACTACAGGGTCGGGTAGGTTTCCCTAGATAAAGGTGCCTCATCATAACTCCAAACTACTACACTCTTCATCATGGGGACCCCTAAAAAGGGACTGGTAGTTTTGGGAAAGCCCCCGGAACTTAGCTTTGACAGACAGTTTTGTAAGTGTTGGTTGGTTCCGCAAAGCCTCAGGGCAGTCAGCCCGTCCATGTGGCAACACCTGCGCACAAGAAATACAAAGCCTGCAGACAATCTTAGGTTACAAACTATTCAGCATGCATTCTGAACATGCTTAGTCTACTATAGCATATTATCATGTATTATAGTATCATAGGGTATACTATGTATGTTATAGCATAATTACAGGGGTATATTACGGCATATTATTTCAACTGAGGTTGAGGCAAGATCATTGAGCACTGTTGCTCCTCGAAGCTTAGCTTTTTGGGTGATGCTCTCGGGCTGTTACTTCATGCTCTCAAGTCACAGAGGATGGCCATGTCAGCAACCGTTGCTACTTTCTTGCTGCAACAACAACTGCGGCCACCACTGCCACCACCACCTTTACTATTTCTACCAGAGCAGCTATCGTGGGCTTTATAACTTAGAGCATCTATGGTTCGAAAAAGCCCTAAACAGCAAACAGATCCGAAGACGGCTGAACTGTCCAGTGACCCATGGCTGATGCCAGGCGTTCACATGATGTGGTGGCAAGTTGCTTGGCGCTAAAACCCACGTATACAGGATTTCAGCACATATTAGAGTATAGGGCTTATGTAGGAATAATGGAAAAGAAACTGGAAGCTACTAATTAAATCCCTATAGTTTCTATTTTATTTTCTGTTATCCCAATATAACCAGTACAAGCGTCCCCATTTTGAGCCACTGACATCTTGCGTAATGTCAAGGCTGAATTGCTCTCAGGAAAGTTCTCAAATCCGGGGTTTGCAGGGTTCGACCCTGAATGCTGTTGCCCTATAATCCATCACAGCTTTACATACTACTGCCTTGAATATCGGCCCTGGCAACTGCGGGGGACGAGTTGCGCGCTTTGTGAACCTGTTGCATTTTGAGCACGTCAAAGGCACCTGTAGACCCTTCAAACTTCAAACCGTAAAGCAGGGAAAGGACGGATTCGGCGCAAACTAGAATTTTTCTCTTGGTCACACCAGCTCAAAATTTGAGGCAGAGTCTGTGCAATTGGGGTGTTCGCGGCTTATGCTCTCTGAGTCTACCAGGAGTGGAAGGCTTTGGTGCCTTAAGGCTTTCATAAAATGAAGGATGGCCCTTGAACCGGTCCTCTGGCAGAGTCCTCATGATATCCACCTTGGCCCGGTCCTCAGGAATGGAGAAACCACACACTTTCAAACTGATCGCCAAAGAACGCCTGCATGGCAGCCATGATAGCTACTGAACCCGTTGTATAAGAGTTGTGTATGTGACGCGTATTAATCATTAATTACTAAGTACTACTGCTGCTACTGCCACTGCTGCTGATAATGAAAATAAGACACTCCTAGCCTCGCCGGAAAGCATCACCGCATCAGTACCATCCCACACGGCGTTGCCTCAGATCATGTACTTCAATGATCCAGCATTCGGCAGTGAATCCTCTGAAGGTTTCCCTGAACTTTTTCGTTGCCCAAAGAGTCTCCACTTTGCTTCCTTTGTTTCAACCCAGAGAATTTGATGCTGACAATTACTCTTACGGCGACTCGTACCCCTGTCTAGTGCAATGCAGGACCTATAGCTTTGGTTTCTGAATTACTTCTAGTGCTACTTCAAAACTGACTTGAGGGCGGGACAAAGGTCCGACACCTCCGCTCTAGTCGGCACTGGCGCCTCAATCATCGACTCGACCTGCTTCGGGATCCCAATAAAGAGAGCGCTTGTCTGACAATGGGAGTTTATAAGGAAATTTCTTGATGAAACACACGAGCTTGTTCTAAAGAGTCTCCGACATATCCCCATCATCTCTCATCAACTAGTTTTGTCCCATGATCTTTGCAAGTCGAGAGAAAGAAGATGGCTGATATCACAAACAACAAATTTCCGCGCGCAACCTCTGCAAAGATGCCTGGATACTGGCTGCTCTTCGCTAAAAGTAGTACTGCTCTATGCTGCTCGGGCGAATGCAACTCACCTTCTGCCCCAGCGCGGCCAGCTTAAGCTAAAGCCATGGAGGCCCAGCCACTATCCAACTCATTCACTCATTCAGTCAGTCAGTCAGTCAGTCAGTCAGTCAGAGTCAGTCAGTCAGTCAGTCAGTCAGTCAGTCAGTCAGTCAGTCAGTCAGTCAGTCAGTGTCATCGACTACATCGCAGAGCCAATCAGCCACGTCTGAGCTGGCCACAGCGGCTTCAAATTCGCAGCCCAGCTTGCATTGCACAATCCAATTTAGGACCCAAATCAAGATGTGCTGGCACTTCCGGTGATGGTCAAGCACCCGCTAGCAGCCCGCAACTAAGGTTGGTGGACCCCTGGCATCTGCTGAAGTCATTAGCTAACATCGCTCTGTGACAAGCTGAGATCGCCGCCATCTGTGTCGCTGTGATTACGAAGAGGCCGGCATCTTTTGCCTGCGCATACAGAACCACTTCTGCAGCCACTCGCATCCTACCCACTACGCCATGTCTCAGCACCACGGACAAGCCCGTCATGCTGAAATTTCTTGAGCTGCTTCCCAGCACAACTGGCATAAATCCAATGTGGCGAGACCCTCGACACGAGAAAAGAAACATGCGAAGTATGGACCAATCAACACCCAGCAGCCTTTCGAATAAGAAGCTTCTGCGCAAAGGGCACACGGTAGAGACCAAGCTCAACACCTGAGCTTAGATGTGCCCAGCTTGCAAAGTTTAACATGCCTTTTCTGCACTTCTGCGCGGCCGTGAGAAGACAGCGAGTCAACGTCAAACTGAGCCAAGCACCAAGATCACCGCGCGCAACCATCAATGCCTGCGACTTCTCGATGATGCCTTCCTGATGCTTGAAAGTGGCGATACCGTAGTAGCTCCCTCAACAAAATGCTTTGATTCGTTTGCGGGCCTAAAGTCGTAAATGCAAAGCAGCAGCAGCAGCAGCAGCAGTTGCTGCTTGCCAAGTCTCGATGTTGGTCAGCGCCTGTGGCTTCTCGATCTTCGGGCAAATCTTCGGTCTCTTCCTAGGGATCCCAGATAACTGAACCCTTGGCTACAGCATCTCACTTTGGAGTTGTCAGAAGTGCCCTGTAGATCAGTCCAAAGCCCAAGTCCAGAGGCCAAGGGGCTCAGCAGGAATGTTCAACCTGTCCATGATGTCGATGAGTTCCTGCCAGCTAAAAGAAGACCCCAAAGCTAAGGACGGATCGCTCTTAGACGAGCTCAAAAAAAGGCGCGCCGTGGGCATGTTGAGATACTCTTGAATCTGACGAACTCAATCCCAGAAGCTACTCTCATGCTGCAACTGATAGGAAAAGAGCGCGGAAAGTGTCTTCATGGCGCCATGGGCTCATAGCATGTGTGTTTGAGCCCCAAGCATCACTAAGCGCCGGATATCCCACAGATACCATAAATCGCGACTCCTTCTGTAACAAAAGCATTTCAAGCTATGCTGCATTGCGCCTGGAGGTCTTGCGCTTTTTGAGCGAAGGATACGCAGATGTACCTCTCCCACGCGACAAGGAGCACATGCCGCCCGCTTCAATTCATCATCACAGGCATGTACCGAACACACCCTCACTAAGTTTCATCCGTGACCATGAAGCAGAAGGCAGTTCAATGTACAGACCCAGGACCACATCGGTCCCAACATCTGATATGGTACACGCAACACAAGAAGTTCAAAGAACTCCAGTAGGCTCCTAAAAGGGGCCGCCTTCTCTCAAGGGAACTAAAGAAGAAACTCTAAGCATTGAGGGAACTAAAGAAGAAACTCTAAGCATTGAGCGCATTCTTACGAAGGCACCCTGTACCTGGGGGCCCTGAGAAGGGCCCTAATTCTGAAATCCGCCCCGGCCTGCCTTACAATCTTCAGAGTTCCTTCCTTACTTCCCGCCTATATCAGCTGGTTCCCTTATTGTAGGCTCCCTACGGACCCCAAGGCAATTTAATTCCTTCACCGCCTTCACCCCAAACCAACTGGTTCTTAAGGGAATATAGTCATTATATGATCCACATATGCTGTATTCCTTTATTGGCTACGAAGAACCAGTAAGCCAAAGCTGGGCCCCAAGGCTCGATAGGAGGGTCCAGCTGCAGCAAGAACTCCGCATCCTTCAGACGAGCTGCTCTCTGATGCTCGCTGCAAGCTGGCGGAATGTGTAAGGTCCAACCCCGGATTCCAACAAGTACCACTGTGAGTCCTCAATGTCTTTGACAGTGAGGGCTGCGCAGTCAATCTCCTTAGTCAATGGGAAGCTTATCGCTTATTTCTTGGCAGGTTTCATCATGGAAGTAAGCCTCATGAAATGTGGGGGTGTGTCCGGTTCTGTGCGGATGTCAGCAGCAAGATTCCCACTTCCCTCACAAATCCGTTAAACCTAATCTTGGCATCTCTGCTTTCCACCTCTGCATGGCTGCTGCTTGGGGTCGATGTCCGGTACGTTCACACCCTTCCTGGCTTTCAGCTTGCCTCCACGGACAACTTTCACCTGCAGGAGCCGCACTGGAAAAGGACTTAAAAGTGTCATATTGAAGCTGGAGAAAGTTTTGTGTACTTGGCAAACCAGACGTTGGGGATTTTGGGCGCACCTTCAGCTCAGTGTCGCTGAGCTTCTCCGTGACGACCACCTCATGACACTTGATGTCTCAACCCCACAAAACCCCACTCACATACCTGCATAACTGACTCCTGGGCGTAGAATCTCTATAGATGTGCTGATGCCTCAAGCCTCAAGATAGTAGGATGCCCATAAAGCGTACACGACACCTAGAAGGGACCGCAGTGATTAGATACTCCGTTTAAAGCCATTGCATGCATTCGGACTCTTTCGTGAGGGCCTCCATGATACCGTCCTCGATGAGCAGAGTAGTGCCCACCTGCGAGGCTGCCAGGCTGCACAGGGAACAGGAGACAAAACAGGGAGTCTTTTAATACATTACGTGTGCACATGTGTGCGCTTGAGATAGCTGGCAAACTTAAGTCACGTGCTCTCTCCTTATATCTGCTTACGTGGGCTGCTCTGAGGTGCCTTCGCTGCAAAATTCCTGCACATAGCCTACTAAGGCTACTAGCAATGTCAAGTAAATGCTTCACTTGTCCTCAAGCCTGCAGGTAACACAGTGACTCGCTGCAATTGGAACCCATAATTGAAACCTGTACCTCACCTGAAGTCTCATCCAAGGCTTTGCGCCCCCAACCACCACGCCAAATTGACACAAACTTGTGACTGCCAAGCATCCGGCCTGGCAGCCCTTGACCAAGGCGTTCTGCTCGGTTGTTGGCCTAAAAAGGCATCGGACTACGAGAACTGCCCGAGATTGCCCAAGTAACGCTCACATTTCGAGTCCACAGTTTTATGGTGGGGATTGACATGAGACCGAAACATGCCTTCAATGGAAACATGAACCCTCTAACTCTAAGCGCAGCTGCTGTTTTTTCCAGACAAGCGGAAAACACATATAGTAAATAGGGAACTCTCCCATTACTTCATGCCTTGAAATGAAAAATTGAAAGACCGCATCTCAGGATCAGTTCATGCGCTTTAGCAACTCCTTGCTCCCTCTTTGAACCCCCCCATCATAATAGAGAGGCGTCTTCACCGATGGCTAAGATGCGCATAACACAATACCCAAATATTTCTGGATTGGATGCTGCAACTGACAGCTGAGTGGCTTCATGGTGATGCGCCCTGGCTTGATGTTGTCGTTATCATCGACACTGATTCCAAACCTCAGCGCAGGCAAGACGTGCACAATACTGTAACACTCACAAGTACTCCCATCCTGCAGGCCCCAGAAAAAACATCTGCCCAAGAGAAGCTCCCTTACTTTGATAGCCCGGGCAACTCCAAGATCTCGCCATTGACCAGTGGGATGGGGTCCGCTGCGAGCTCGCCAACACGGAACTTTGGGCCCTGGAGATCTCCGAGGCATTCCACCTGCAGCCGCAGCAATGCAAGCCAGTGCATTCCACCAAGCCATGGAAAGCAGAGGATCTATTCAAAAGCATGTCGCGAAGCCGAGGACCAAAAGAAAGAAACAGTCAGTACGAGCCGTCGAATCACGTTAATTTAGCACTCCGCGCGCTCTGGCCGTCTGCGACGCGGAACTGCATCTGCATGTGAGGTCTCTCTTCTGTGATATCAATCACTCTACGGTAGCTCCATTGAGTAGATGTGCACATTATTACGCACACCATCCAAGGAGCCTTCTTGCCCATCTCTTTGGCTGTCTTGCGGATCAGCGGGTAGACACGCTCGAAGTCGCCGCCACGTCGGTGCGAGCAGTTCAGGCGGAAGATGTCCGTACCAGCCTCGATCATCTTGGGGATCATCTCCTGACAAATTCGGGCATTTGCGATTCGCACTTGCGGAGGAAAGGTGACATTACTGGAGATGCTACATATGTAAGTCTGCACGCCAGTCCTCGCTCCATGATGCAGGCCCCAAGCTGGCAACCACCTGGCGCAAACTGGCTTCAGGGCAAGTCCAGCAAGAACAAGTGGGTAAGAAACTGCCTGGGTTCTGTGCTTGTAGGGGTTGAGGGGTATGCTGTCTATGCAACTTGTCCAAGACATGTTAACGAGGTTTGGCCCTCTGCACCTTGGTGCGGCGCTTGGAGTCGTCCATCTCCCTCGGCTTGTTGGCCTAGCGCTTAGGGACCCTCACACACATGAATGACAGGGTGCAGAACATCATTACAATTAGTATTACTACTAGTACTCCTCATCGCAGAAGTAGTCGATGGGCAAGCGCGGTTGGAGCAGATCTCTGACCTGAAGTTTCCGATGGCTCTGCATGGTACGATATCCAGAACACTGCACACCACAACAATAGTTGGAGGATGTTGGAGGTCCAATGACCTGGTGTGTGATCAAGAGCTTTGCTAATGCAATGTCTCTTCTGCTATCTGCCTATCTGCTTGGAGGGGGCTTTCCTGTCAGTCGTGCATAACTCCTTGAACTGATCCTCATCCTATTGCCCCCGCTGACCTTCCTAATGCAACGACAACAGTAGCAGAAGCTCAACTTCTGAACGACCAGACATCAGCCAGATGTCGCTCTCTGCTTCGAGCGCTGCAGCTGCTTCTGCCATGACCTGGGATGAGAACTGTTGGACCTCTTCTCATTAGATACAAGCCAGTGGGTTTGGTCCATCTCAATGGGCAAAATGCGACGCTGAAGCACGTGTACGACAAGTGTAAATGCCAAGTGCTGCCCATTTAGAGCACGGCCTGCCAGCCAAGCATTCTATTGCACTGTTTTGAACCATATGCTCCATCCTTTAATTGACGGCTGCTGCAAGGTGCCACCATGTACCACCTACAAGCAACCATGACCTGAAGCGTCATCGATAGGACCAGGTCACATTGCACACTGAACTGCGTCCTAGCAGCAGCTTCACAGGGGAACTTCCCACTGGCAGCCTGCAAAAGTGCAGATGACAATCATGCACTTGCTCTGAAACACTGTAACACATCCCGAGAATCTGCCCCCTGCCTCTCCACTGAGCATCACGGCGTCCGCACCATCCCAGATAGCATTTTGCAGGTCGCTGACCTCTGCCCTTGTCGGGACCGGGTTCTCAATCCTGAGATGTCCACTGTCCAAGCCTACACACATGCAGAAAGATTGCATGCGGAAGAATCCCAATCTGCGTGTGGCACCTTACACCAAGTACAAGACGTGGCGGTGTGCTGAGAAACTGGTCTGATTTGCCATAGCAAGGGGCATGCTCTCAACCATCTGCGTGGCATTAATGACGAAGAGTCCGGCATCCTGGATTGTGGGCTGGTGCAAGGGAACATCCGCACCAACAACATCTGAAGCACAGAGCCGGGAATTAGGCATACTGTTTCACAAGGAGGAAACAGTCAGATGGTTTGCATTGCACATGTTAGCGGATCCTTGGCTTTGCGGATGAGGAGTTTCTGCGCGAAAGGCACCCTCTCGAGCTCCAGCTCCACACCCAAGTCACCTCGTGCCACCATTAAAGCTTGAGACTTGGCAATGATGCCATCGATGTTGGTCAGAGCCTGCAGTAGGGCATTCAGATAAGCGCGCGTCATCCATGGTTGAGTCTGCGTTGTGGCTCCCGACACACCCGGCAAACTCACGCAGCCTGAGGCTTCTCGATCTTTGGGCAAATCTTAGGCCGCTTTTCCTGTCCAGAGTGTGATGTCTTCAAGCGAGAACGGGCGCCTACACCACGCAAGATCACGCAAGACTATCAGTTTAACTCGGGCCTGAGGGATGTTCAGGCGGTCCATGATGTCAATGAGCTCTTGGAGGTCCTGTCCCTTCTGCACAAAAGAGACGCAGATATACTCGATGGGCGGGTCCAGTTGCAGTAAGAATTCGGCATCCTCAATGTCTTTGGCAGTCAGCGCGGCGCAGTCGATCTCCACGTCCGGCACGTTGACTCCCTTGCGGGCCTTCAGCTTGCCACCGCGGATGACCTTCACTTTCAGCTCCGTATCGCTGATCTTCTCCACGACATTAACCTTCATAATGCCGTCCTCCAAAAGCAGGTCTATGCCCACCTTCGAGGCCGCGATCAGAGCATTCTGCTCTGTCGTGGGTTTCATGGTGATGCGTCCAGGGCGAATGTTGTCATTGTCGTCCTTGCTTATGCCGAACTCCAGGATGTCGCCGTTCACAAGCTCAATGGGGTCTCCAGCCAGCTCGCCCACGCGGAATTTGGGGCCCTGAAGGTCTCCCAGGCACTCCACCTGAGGGCGGGTCGATAAATGCTTATTGCCACAAAGTTTCAAAGCTACTGCAAGACGTATTCCAAGTTCAAAGCAGGAGCATACAGAAGTACAAGTTCAGGCCTTCTTGCCCAGCTCCTGCGCAGACTTGCGGATCAGCGGGTAGACGCGCTCGAAGTCACCACCACGTCGGTGCGAGCAGTTCAGGCGGAAGATGTCCGTACCAGCCTCGATCATCTTGGGAATCATCTCCTGCTTCAGAAACCACGAAGCTTCAACAAATCCGAAGTTCCGAGAAAGGCTTAGCATGTAGTACTCATGAAAACCGCAGCCATTAGCACACTATGAAGTCGCGCACTACCTCCAGCAAAGACGCGTCTCAGTACGTCTTAGCACCTTTTTCAGTGGCATTATGTGATAATGATGGCTGTGTCCTCACTCCACGAGGCAGGGCCCAGGCTTGCAACAACCTTCGACTTGCGCAAAGCGTCGTTGGTTTCCTGCAGCGTCAAGCAACTATAGTCCACAACGCCCAAGCCGTCAAGAAGCGCATGCCATGAAAATGAGGATATCTGATGTGGCAATCGAATACAAAAGGACCTGCATCAGTTCTTTGCAGAGGTTGCTGTCCACAACCACCCTATGGCCCTATGGATTCACCTGATCGCTGATGCATCGGATGCGATTCAGTTACGTTCCTAATGCGACTTCTTGGAGGCAAGAGAGTCCTGCTTCTTGTTCCCCATGTTGACATGAAGCATTGGAGGGGCAATCGCACCTCGCCAAGAAGGCTTGCATTCAATTTTTTCAACATCGCTGCTACCGCAACTGCGTTCAGAGTTTCAGACATGGCCATATCTCAAAACAGGTCTGAAGACTGGGTTGGGCACCAGATTCCACTGGCGGGCAGGCACGTCTGAGCCGGTGTTTGACCTTGGAATTTTCAGGGTGCTTTCTTTAGACCTACTGCTGCAATATACAAGTGGGTACTTGCGTTCTAACAACCCTTGATTCCCGCACTTCCCGACCCCTTGAGCTGAAGCATGTTGAAATGTTGGCGTGTTGCCTTGGCACCTACAAGAAGGATAGTGCAGATGGCACCGCAGTGATCCGTAGTGAGCCGTAGCGGGACTCTCCGAACCCCCTAGAAAATCTCTTTGGTACATCATCCCATGCACTGCAAAATGGCAGAATGCCACAAGCCTAAATGGAGAAGCTACAGCAGAAGAATTGCCCTGCGGTGACTCTCTTTCAGCCTTGGCGCAGACTCGGCCTCCCGGGCTGCGGAGGCTTCAGCCATGACCTCATTACTGAAAGTAAGTACCACGAGGCAAGAGAAGAGTCTGGAGGGTGAACTTTATTTATTCAATTTGGGAAAGATGTCAGGACAGGACAATCTGTACAACCCAATCTTTTGGACTTTCTGTCCCCAAGCGAAGGTTCAGCAAAGGGCCTTCCAGTCCTGCTTGGCCTTTTGAGAATCGAAGAACGTTTCCTGCTCGCCCTAAAACCCGTTCAAAATCAGCCACCAGAAGGCCAGGAATCAAGTTTCAAATTAAAGTGTCGCAAGTTGTTACGCAAAAAGCCGCAGATGGCCACGCGAATTTTTCGAAGATCCCAGATGGCACAGTTGGATACATGGAATTCCCACGGCCAAAAGCATCTCTCAGACCGCTGGCTAATTTTGATATCACGCCGAACTGTTCTAGCTGTGGCTGTCATTGCCATCTAGCATGCTCATTGCGGGTACTCGTGCTCCTAGCTACGACCCCCTCCAGACCTAGCTGAAAGCTCCACAGTTGCCATTCCGAAGAAGCCTTCAGCTATTAGCACCCATATAACCATCTACTCAGGAACGCTGCTCCCATCTGTGGCAACCATTCAAGTTCGGGGATGTTCGGGGCGTCTTCTGAAATCGTGTTTACTTCATAGCTCCTGCATCAATGATAACTGGATCTGGATATTTGATGTCCAAGCCACTGCTTCGCAAGGGAAGTCCCCACTTGCTGCTTCTCCAGACAGCATCACTGCCTGAGACCGCAACGAAGCGGCAGTCATAGCGTCTCAAAAAAAAATTGGGCAGACTTGAGCAAAGGATGCAAACATTTGAAAGAGTGAGCTCAGCAGGGCAAACTAAAACAACAACAGCAAGCTCAAGCTCTTACAACCACACCATTAGCAGAAATAGCTGTAGCTGAACAAAGGAGAATAGAGAAAACGGAATGGTGGAAGCCATTGCCGAGATGCATCTGCTCCATCCCACACGGCATTGCAGACGTCGCTGACCTCTGCTCGGGTGGGCACTGGATTCTTGATCATGCTCTCCACGACCTGGGTGGCATTGATCACCTGAGCCAATGTCAGTTTGACAGAGCTCAATGGGAACCAGCGGACACAGGCAGCCAAGCGGGGTGATGTGCAGCTAAGCTGCAAAAAGCCCAGCTTGCTTGGCTCGTGCGATCAACAGCTTCTGCGCAAAGGGCACGCGGTTCAGGCCCAGCTCGACTCCAAGGTCACCACGGGCGACCATCAAGGCCTGTGACTTCGCGATGATTCCATCGATGTTTGTCAGAGCCTGGCTTTGATCGGAAACTTTACATCCCATCAAGCACCAGGCAGGAGACAGGAGATTCTGGAGATGCCGGCCTGCGGCTTCTCGATCTTGGGGCAGATCTTGGGGCGTCGCTCAGGAGGGATCTGCAAGCGGTCCTTAGGCTACAAACCAAAGCAACTCACCTCCTGGACCTGCCAGACCTTGATGGGATCCCAGTTGTATGCCTGGAGTCCATGATGTCAATGAGCTCCTGCAGGTCTTGGCCCTTCTGCACAAAGGACACGCAAATGTACCTGCAGGTCAAAGTGACAGCCAGAACCTCACACCCCGAACCAGCGTTTTCCGCAATGCTCTTTGCTTGAAACACCTTCTGGCACCCTCCATGTGCTACTGAGGCGCTCAATTGGGGGATCTAGCTGCAGCAAGTATTCTGCATCCTCGATGTCCTGCGTGCAGCGCAGGCTTCTTGCAACGCACTGAAGAGCCACATACTCTCTCAAATCAAATTGGGGCAGCCTCTACGTGCAAACAGGGGAGACGTCCTTGGAAGTCAACGCTGCGCAGTTGATCTCCAAGTCCGGTACATTGACACCTTTGCGGGCCTGAATACAATGGTCTTGGAGCATGAGCAAGGGTTCATTGAAAGTCTCGCAGAACTTACGCATTTTTCGAAGGTGGAGCGGCTCCGTGAGAGCCCCTTACATTGCAGAACACATTTGCATGTACATGTAGGCATGCAGGTTCGATTTGAAGCAGGGAGGGCAGAACGAAAGACAAAGAGGGATGTGGAGAGCGTGGGACATACTGTCAACTACTGCAAGGCCAAAGGAGACGCCGCCAGTCAAACAACGAAAGTTCAGCCCTGCTTCGGGCAGAAAAGGAGACCCATGGCATGTCCAAACAATAAAGGATGGCCTTCAGCTTCCCACCACGCGTGACTTCGACTTTCAGCTCGGTGGACGAGATTTTCCTGAGATGTAACATGATCTTTGCTTCGTGCGCAGAGGTTGCCTTCACAGTGGACTTTTGCTGGGGGAACTCTTGCTGAGCATTGCGAGGTTTGCAGTTCCACAGTTAAAGAACACTTTGGCCAAGCTTCTCCGTAACCTTGACCTCCATGAGGCCGTCCTCAATGAGTAGCATGGTACCTCAGCTTATGGTTCGTAGGAGGCCGGTCCCTCCTTGATGTCATGATACTGACACTCATGACCCTCAGGACCTTGGCCATGAGTACAGTCTTTGGCAGACCAACATAACAAGTGTCCGATGTCTGCACGTTTGCTGGTCATCCCTCTGATTGCTACAATCGATATGATTTGCAGCCCGGATGCCGACCTTGCAGGCTTCGACCAGAGCGTTCCTCAGCCACGGTGGCGGCGATTGCCATCGAATCTCTCGATTATGTAAAAAGTGTAAAACGAAGAAACTTCAAAAGCGTAACTTACCTTGACCTTCAGTAAAGGTGTCATTATGTTCCAAGGAGGAACAAAACTGCTCTTGCCAGAAGAAGAGGGCAAGGGCAAGATGAGGGGGATGGCGTGGCATGCGTGGTGCAGTTGGTAACAGCAGCCTGCAGAATGCTTTAGGACAAGATGCTGCTCAGTAGTTGGCTTCATGGTAATTCGGCCAGGCTTGATGAGGTCGTTGTCATCCTTGCAGATGCCTAAGTGCATCATAACGAGGCCTGGTCAAAAAGCATCAGTATGACCTGCGACCGTCAAACCCTGTTGCCAGACACGCTGCCGAACTCCAGGACATCACCGTTTTTCAGCTCGATGGGGTCAGCAGCCAACCTCAAATACCCCACTGCTTAAGGCTCACGAGACAGCGCTTCTGAATGCCATAGTATGCTAGACATGTTCGGACCCAGAAAGCCATTAGTCATCAATGGACATGTTGCAATGAAACATATGTTAATTACATCAATGGGTAAGGACTGAATGTGGTTACTTTTTTAGGGAGGTCAATTTGAGGCTCCTTTACAGGCCATAGGCCAGGTTCCACTTGACCCAGCTCAATCGAGTCTCTGCGCGCCTGGGATTGACTCTGAAGCGAATCCTGCATGTCTGCAGGCGCCCTTCATTTGCCCCGTTATCCTATACCCACAGGAAATTGCCAGGCTCGGAGCTCGCCCACGCGGAACTTGGGACCCTGAAGGTCACCCAGGCATTCGACATTGACGCCCAATTCCTGCTGCTAAGTGCTGCAAGTCGGAGAAATGAGGAAGTCTTCAAACTAAACAACCCGAGGAAATCAAGCAACCATCTCATGTGGCACCAGTCCCTGACTTGTGGCCAGGACAAATCCTCAATGACGGGCACTAGGCCTCCTACCCAAACTCCTACGCAGCATCCGATCTCTGCCAGAATGTGTAATCAAATTGGCATCCTTGGAGTGGCGGCGGATGGCAGGGTAGACCCTCTCAAAGTCGCCACCTTAGACATCCCCCCTCCATGCCGAGGAAGATGCGGACTTGCTTTCTACTGCATCCTCGTAAAGCAATACCTCTGTGACGTGAGCTTGGACCCTTGCCGCGTCGATGCGAGCAGTTCAATCGAAAGATATCCGTACCGGCCTGCGGTGAGCAAAGGTTTCTAGCCCAGCTGAAAAACATTTGCATCCTATGGGTCTCATGATGACTCATGATTCCTACATAACCCCAACTGCCTGGATCATCTTTGCCAGCATATCATCGCTCCAGGACGCCGGCCCGAGGCTGGCAACAATCTTTGTCCTTCGTCCTGAGCAATGGCTCGGATGCAAGTCACGTCCTCGCAGTAACCTTCCATTTATTTCTTTTTCATATTTGCTCTGTTCGTCGCGACGTTGCAGGATTGACAGTCAGGGACGGGGGCTAATCATGTTTGTAGGAGCTCAAGCTACCAAACCCCTAGTAGAAAGCACGCGTGCAAGCAGCATATAGAACATCAACAACATCAAGCCCAGCTTCGGCTATCGTCGAGCTCACGCGGCTTGTTTGCTTCCTCCACGACCTTTGCATGGGGGTCATGGCTGTCTTGGGCTAGAGGATCCTCTTTTCATCTCCTTGTCACAATGCCAACGCGTCACATAGTCATCATAGACCTGCGGCACCAGCAAATGCTTCACGCTCTCCGCTTCCAGGGCAGCGTCCGCTTCCGCGCGCACAGCCTCACCTGTGAAAGGGCGAGGGCTGCTCAGTGGTTTGCATGAGTCATGAGTAGGGCCCGGTGTGGCACTGAGCATGATAAGAATAACTAGTGACACTTCACTACATCACACAAAAATTGCAGACGGCTGCTGACGTTTTGCTGGCCAGGGCACAAGGATACTTCCCACTAGCCGCTTCACCACTCAGCATGACAGCGTCAGCGCCATCCCAGACTGCATTCTGCACATCGCTGACCTGTAGCATATAACTCTCGGTACAGAAGAGCTTCAACTTCAAACTGCGCTTCTTGGATTCAGACATACTCACACCATCAGGTACCTAGCCTTCTAGGAGGCTATGTATGAGCAGACATGGTCATAATGCAAGCCATGCCAAGCAATTCTTCAACTGCCAGACACGTTCAGAAAGTTGTGGGATTTTACAGAGTCTTTCAGAGTCCCCAGCCTCTGCTCTGGTGGGCACAGGCTGCCTTGGTACTTGTACGCCACACACACATTCCAAAAGCAAATCCCTTCCCCGCATCCTCACCCACAGTGTTGCCTCAGGCTTTCCCGGTCCCAGCGCTAACTTAGCGAAGCTGCTCAATCATGCTCTCCACCATCTGCGTGGCGTTGATGACCTTTCAGCTCTGCTTTAGCAGTGCCCGGAGTCTTGTAGCACCACGCAAAATGATCAACGTTCGCACTTCCCAGACTGTGTTGGCATCATGTTGAGGATGCTGAATGCCTGACTATTTAATCTTCTTGCGGAGTGAGAAGCGAATAGACCCGCATCCTTTGCTCTCCTGAAACAGGCACTTGCGCAACATGTTTGATAATCTTTGCATGCCATCGAACGGTATGCGAAAAGGTTGGCTGTTTCAGTCCTGATCAAGAGCTTCTGGGCGAAAGGAACCCTTTCGAGCTCCAGCTCGACACCCAAGTCACCGCGTGCTACCATCAAAGCCTGAGACTTGGCAATGATGCCGTCGATGTTCGTGAGCGCCTTATCGGGCGATTCACGCAGAGCACCCGGACAGGCCAGGCAGGTGCAGCTTTTAGCTTGCATTCTCGTCTATGTTGGTGGTACGAGCCTGTGGTTTCTCGATCTTGGGACAGATCTTTGGACGCTTCTCCTGCGCAGGATGAAAAACTCGAGCAGAGATATCCAGGTCGACTCGGCAAAAGCCCTCTCCTGCGGGATCTGCAACCGGTCCATGATGTCGATAAGTTCCTGCAGGTCCTGGCCGGTTCTCAGTAGGAAGGAAATGAACGTGCACAGCGTGCTCAGTTGTTCATCTAATGACAAGGCAACATTCGTGGTAGGCTCGCTGCGTCACTCCGCGCCAGTCCTGGGCCTTCTGCACAAAGGACACGCAAATGTACTCAATCGGTGGGTCCAGCTTCAGGAGGAACTCAGCATCCTTCAAACAGGCTCGAGGCATGGAGAATGCAAAAGATCTGGGAATGGCAGGAGTGCTTTCCTAGGACACCGATCAGACTAACAAAGAGAACATCGGAGACTGGGGAAACGCGCTCGCAGCCAGGACTACATACTCGTCTGGCGTCCTTTTGAAAGACACGCCCCGCACAGTGCGGCCATTGTTGCCCAAGCACTCAGGGCTAGAAAAAGCTAGAACTAGACCTTAAATGTTGCACAGGTGCGTGGGGATGCCAGTTCTCGAGACCGTTACAGATGAAGATGAAAGTCACACAACTTTCGTACAGTCGCACAAGAATCTTCACTTGAATTAACTGCAGTCTCATGCTATGCGCTTGCTCAATCCTCTTCTTGGCTTCCCCTTCGCCAAGGAGGCCACGAAATATAACCACTACTCGCAACAAGTATTTCTTTGGAGCTGCTCTTGAGGGTTGTCTTTGGATTAGGTGACTTTAACACCGCCGTCGTTGTCATCACGAATTGCTTCCGCGTAGACTATCATTCACACTGTGATTTCTGATGCCCACGTTGGGGTCCTCGATGTCTTTTTCTGTCAGGGCTGCGCAGTCAATCTGAACCTCCGGCACATTGACGCCCTTTCGAGCCTTCAACTTCCCACCGCGGACCTGAGATAAGAGCGAATTCTGCCGTTGAGCTGACAAACAATTTCCTGTCTCAGCCTCACTGCACTTGAATTTGAGGTGGCGAAATATGACACTTACTATCATGCACCTCTGGTAAAAAATGCCTTGCAGGGATATCTGGTGCACGGGCCAGCTATCCCAAAGACACATGCTCTTTGAATCGTCTTTGCAGCAGAAGTGGCCACCTGGACCTTCAGCTCGGTGTCCGAGCACTTTTCAACAACCTTCACCTCCATAATGCCGTCTTCAAGAAGCAGGGGAGTACCCGGCTTGCCTCAGTTAAGGGATGTGGGGACTGGCAACTGATTCTCTCAAAGCCCTAGTGGTTTTTGGGCTTGGCAGCGGCTACAAACATGCCCTTGGATGTGTGCACGGGCACCCTGTAGATGATGGAAGCTTAAACCCAGGTCAGGAAGGTTGAATTAAACGCATTTTTTGCCACCGGATATGTGTAAAGCCATTCTAAGGGTCAGATTTGATTGTTCAAACCTCGCCCAGCACAGGTGTTAGGAAGTTGGAGAGTGAAACCCCAAGAATTGACCGTTCAACCTACTCCTCGTAAAGCATTCAGGAACACCTCCTGATTCGGGCTCTTCTTGAACTACCAAGCACAGAACAGGCTTGCAAAAGTGCAACCGCGATGCAAGCTCGAACCAAGGCGTTCTGCTCAATGGTGGGCTTCATGGTGATACGGCCAGGGCGGATCATGTCGTTGTCGTCCTGCGCGTTCCGACTCAGCTGGGGGCAAAACTCGGCATTGTGCCGGAGCGTTTTGAAGGAGACTATCTCAAAAATGTTGGGGTCGTGTTCAGACCTAGCAGGAGGAGTCCTTGCAGATTCCGAACTCCAGGATCTCCCCATCCTTCAGTGGCACGGGATCGCCAGCGAGCTCTCCGACGCGGAACTTTGGACCCTGGAGATCGCCAAGGCACTCCACCTCGCGCATGCTGGAAATTCATGAACCATTTTTTGTTGTGCTCAAGTTCGGCATCTGCACAGTGCGTGGTGCGCTACCAGACGGGTCCGACTTGACTTGACCTGCGGCAGCAGTGCCTTCTTGCCCATCTCCTTTGCGGACTTGCGGATGAGCGGGTAGACGCGCTCGAAGTCACCGCCACGGCGGTGCGAGCAATTCAGGCGGAAGATGTCCGTGCCAGCCTGCATCCATGGCTGCAGCTGGCGGCTAGACCCTTCAGCCTTGACTTACAAACCAGCACAATCTATGACTTTATGATATGCAGCGACTGCTTCTGCTGACCCGAATTTCAATCCTTCTTGGTGGGATGTTTTTTGCTCTTTAGAACAGAGCAGCGCTGAAGGCACCCTGAGCCTCGATCATCTTTGGGATCATCTCCTAATGCACGCGAGGCAAACAGAACCACAGCACATCGAGGTTGCTACCGTACAGGCCTTGGCTTTGGATGCAGGAAGCTCGAAAAACACTGAGTGCATACGATCACGAGTCACAAATGCAGTAGCAGCTGACAACTTCGCGCACCGCGGTCACGGCTGGGCATTGACAAACATGATCCCTGAATTCGTGAAGCACACGTGGATTTGAAACGCTCAACAGCAACGCTAATCACTCCAAACACTTCTTGCTTCTGGACTTAGGCGCCAGAACGTTGGCCCAAGCTCACGATCATGAGCACTACTCCAAACCCTGCCGCCCAAGATTACAATACCGAAGCATCAAGTCCTAGAAGTGAGAGTTGTTGCCATGCTCGCCATGGCTCCTCACTCCAGGACGCGGGGCCCAAGGATGCAACGACCTTCCAAGCAACGAGCTGAGTTTCTCTGAGTTTCCTTCACATGGGGGATTCCCAAAATTAGGGGTACCTTTTTGGGGGTCCCCATGATCTAAGCTCAATTCAAGCTGACTGTTCTTGGGATTTCTGCAAAGCTTCGGAAAACACACACGCGATGCATGCGATGAGCATCTCAAATTGGTGAAATCGTTAGCTCAACCTAAGGCAGCCCGAACACCCCGTAAGAAAGGAGCAAATTGAACAAGTGTTCTGTACCACCCGGCATGTGCCTTGGTCTTCCTCTTGCTGTGGTCTGTCTCTTGTCTCTTGAGACCCATGCCGCAATTCAGTGTCTTTGCCGCGCGCATTTGCGTCTTGCTGTCAGGTGCCTTGGGTGGACACTACCCTGGTCGGAGAATAAATACCTACTTACGCTTGATCGGAAAGGCTCCTCTGCGTGCCATACTACGAACTGCATTCTCATGCCGTGCTTTGGCTCAAAATTGATGTCCCTCGTCCGCTGGACCAGGACTCTCCTTTATGCAGCCAGAAGTCAACGAATGGGCAGGCTTGCTGCAATTTGCTCTTGACAGTCTCAGCCTGCCGGTGGAAGAGCGCGGTCAAAAAGATGCCCGCCACGTGTTGTCAGGTACACGCGCCCGCGCAACTCAGAAACACCCAGCCTCTCGAGTTGCAGAGGCTTCTGCCATGACTGCCTCGCAGGGGTACTTGCCGGTGGCTGCCTCGCAGGGAAGTCGGGTAGTCATGGTAGCAGAAGCAGCTCTGCTAGCTGCTAGGGTTTGCAAAGGAATCTAGAAAGCGCGGCCGTCGATGCTGCCTCTCCAGACAGCATCACCGCATCGGTACCGTCCCACACCGCATTCCTGGCAGCTCAGGCTCAGTGACGTACGATTAGTATTGCGAGCTGTCATTGCAGCACTCATGCGGTGAAGGCTCATGAGATCGGAGACCTCCGCACGGGTCGGAACCGGGTTCTCGATCATGCTCTCCACCATTTGCGTTGCCGTGATCACGAAGAGCCCAGCTTGTTTGGCTCGCTGGATCAGCAGTTTCTGAGCGAAGGGCACTCTGCAGAGTCCCAGCTCCACGCCCAGGTCACCGCGGGCAACCATCAAGGCCTGACTCTTGGCAATGATGCCCTCGATGTTGGTGAAGGCCTGTGGCTTCTCAATCTTTGGGCAAATCTTTGGCCGCTTCTCTGCAGGAACATTGAGCCGGTCCATGATGTCAATGAGCTCCTGCAAGTCTTGGCCTCGGCAGCGGGGGGAAACCGGAGAAACATCCTGCAACAACCAAAAATCTCCACAAATGACAAAAGCTGTGCAAGCAGCCGCTGGCCCGTGTCTGAGTTTAGGGCCCTTCTGGGCAAACGACACGCAGATGTACTCGATTGGAGGGTCCAGCTGAAGGAGGAACTCCGCATCCTTCAAAAAGGCTTGGGGGATCTTGGAGGCACCGCCAGCTATGATTATGCACACAGACTGAAGTCTCCTAAAACACCCAAGCGCGACTTCCGTTCAGCAGGCATCAGTTGTATCTCGAAATCATTTCGGACCGGCAGTATCTGGGCCCTGGAGCGTCCTCGATGTCCTTTGCTGTCAGCGCCGCGCAATCAATCTCCACATCCGGGACGTTCACACCCTTCCGGGCCTTGAGCTTACCACCTCGAGTGACCTGCAGAAACTCTCGGATCTGAGGAAATTGCTGTTGGCCAAAAAAAGCAATGACACAAGGCAGGTGGGATGTTGAAGATGCCATGGTCCCATGTGTGCGTCGAGGAGCTTCAACCCTGAGCTCACTCTCGGAGCACTTCTCAATGACCTGGCATGTCAGGAAGCTTGCTGCACCTCAAAGCATCCAGAGCTTCAGAGTCCAGGAAGTGCAGGTCACCAAGTGGAGGGGAAAGCCGCAGGTTCTAGGATCGGGCTGCTGTAGAGAGATGCTGCTCTGAACTGGCGGGAGATAGCTTACATCCGATATCAGCTGATTGACCACCTGCGTCTTCCAGACTGACCATCCAGCAGCATGCCTTCCCTTCATCGGATTTCTGCCATGTCATTTTTGGCTTGGCGCTGGCCTTGACTTCCATGATTCCGTCCTCGAGCAACAAAGGGGTGCCAGCTTTGCCTCGGACAAGAGAACTTGAAGTGGGATTAGGGTTTAGGGCTTCGGGGCGTCGGGGATCAGAATCCATCTGGAAGCTACTTCCTCTCAAAAAATACACTGGAAAGCAAGGAGATTCTCGAGACGGCCCAGCAAGAGACCATCGCCGACTCTTGTGATGTCTGCTGCAGCAGCTGCAGCGGTGTATGTATGGGCTTCTTGGGGGCTACAAGTGCAGACACTGACCTTTTTCAAGTTATACCCTGTAAACGGTCCTGTAATCCCCAAAGAGCACTCGGAAGCCTTGGCTCGCCCTGCTGCCATGGCACAGGCCTTCACGAGGGCAGTCTGCTCTGTGGTGGGCTTCATGGTGATGCGTCCAGGCCGGATGTTGTCATTGTCGTCCTTGGAGATACCTCAGTGGAGGAGCGAGGGATCGTTCATGTATCACAGAATCCTTATAGACGTAGCTTTAGGAACCCTGAGGCCTTAAACTCCTCAGACCTCAGAGCAACTTGCCCACCGAACGATCGTCAAAGCGGCCGAACTCCAGGACATCGCCGTTCTTCAGCTCCACAGGCTCGCCTGGCCAAACAGCAGGATAATAGTAGTAATACAAATAAAAAAATAATTGTAGTTGTTGTAGTAGTAGTAGTAGTAGGACTTATACTAATAGTAGTAATAGTAGTAATAATAATCGTAGGAACAGTAATTCAAACAGTAATAGTAATACGAACAGCAATAATACTAATACTAGGTGTAGCTAGGATTGCTCTACACGAGGTTGCTTTGAGCGTGCCCTGAGTTGCGGCTGTGACATACTGAGCTACTTGTTGCGTGCCGTTGAAGGTCTCAGCCATTTTCGCTGCTTGCATTACTTCAAAGGGCAGAGGTAAACGAAGCAAATAAGGCTGCCTTCTGGGGAGGGCAGGAGAATGTAGGAGACCAGGAGGCCCGCTTTAAGAATAAAAAGGCTGGCGTGGAAAGTTAGAAGACAACAACTGAAGTCTTTTGCTGTGGGTATTCTGGATCTCGGAAATGAACATCAACTACTTCAAGTAACAGCCTTTCCTCTTTGGCCTTTAGGTTGAGCAACTCCAGACCTCACTGCAGAGGCCAGCAGCTAGTGACGAGTGGTTACCATACCTATCTAGGAAGTGTTCGGTGGCAACGAGATCATGCAAAATCAGACGAGGAGCCTACCCAACAAGAATCCTTGTGCTGATGCTCAATTTGCCCCTGACCAGAGCAAGAAAGAACCAAGGCTGAGACATCTCAGAAGTGTCAAGTTGTCACCCACTAGATGCGTGATAATGGCATGTCCATGGAGCGTAGAGTAAACCCGTACGTCCTCCCCTTCAAACCTCCTTGAAAAAGCGCATGCACATGCCTGCCAACTCGCCCACACGGAACTTGGGCCCCTGGAGGTCACCAAGGCATTCCACAGTCTTCCCCATCTCCTGCAAATTGGTGGCTGAGATGAGGTAGTACGGCATACACAGCAAACAAGCAGCAGGCCTGGACGACAAAGGGGGGTTTCATTACAATTTGAACCAGCTGCAAGGGAAGGGAACAAAGAATTTCACAAAGATTTTCATAGCCACATCAAGAGCTGAAGTAACCTCCTTTCAGGATGATTTAAGATGCCTTGGCCACAGTTGCCAAGAAAAGTCTGTTTTAAGTCTTGGGAGGGCGCAATCTTTTCCCAGCCAGTCCTTGGCATATTTGCGGATGAGCGGGTAGACGCGCTCGAAGTCGCCACCACGACGATGCGAGCAATTCAAGCGGAAGATGTTCGTTCCAGCTTCGATCATCTTGGGGATCATCTCCTGCAGAGTGTGGTGGCCCAAGCAAGGCCCCTTTGCCTCAAAACATGTCGGATTATCACGCACATTTGCCCGATTGTTGTTCTGTATCAGGGACAGTTTCAGTTGCATCACCCCTGCTGATGCCCGCTGATCTGAATCATGGGTGCCAGTTCAAGGGCTTTCATCTGCAGTCCTCACTCCAAGATGCAGGTCCCAGGGATGCCACAACTTTTGTCGTCCTTTTGCTGTCCTCAGGAGCTTTGGCAATCTCAGCTTGAGGATAGGAACTCTCAGGTCCTCACAGCCTGATTCCTGATCGGAATACCCCACACACGCATGGAAGCTGAGAAATCGCGAAGGCCGCATGGCACAACAGTACAGTGAGGTGCCTCATCCTATTACGAAGAGGAAGCGCAAATTGGCTGCTCCATGCAGCCACCTTTTCCCCAGGCCCTCATCACCATCATCATCATCATCATCATCATCTTTCTAGTCGAAGAGCTAGCTTGAGCTCTCATCCATGCAATGGCCATCCTAGGGAAAGAATGGTTGAAGTCCGACCTGGCTACATGACAGCCAAGCTTCATCCAACTCCCGAGGCTTGTTGGCTTGGTCCACGACAGCCCCATCCAGGACCTGCAAGTCGGAACCATCATCTCCAGCACCAGCTTCTATCTTTCATCTTTTGACTTTGTGGTTTAGATGTTCATGATTGGAATCAATCTTGCAGCTGGCCGGGCTGGCGACATCAGCGTCTCCTTCTGCCAATCTATGCCAATCTGGAACTTTCAGGATGCGCTGTCCGAATACTCAACCATGTCAGCGCCCACAGCCCATGATTCACTAGCCTGAGATACCTCCGGAACACTGCAGCCAACATTCATCTTGAGTTAAAACCCGTGGCCTCTGGAAGCCCCAGGCTCGAGTATTTTGAGTGGGCTGGGGAGGTGCGGATCGGCCTGTGGTCTCAGGAGGTCGCGGACTGTCTCCGCTTCGAGCGCCTCGGCCAGATGGACGGCATGATGATGTGCCACCCGTTTCGCGCCGAGGCGTGCAAGGTAACGCTGGCGCACACAGCCCACCATCAGAGTCTAGAAGCTTTAGGGGAACCCTTGTAGCTGAGGGGGGTTGTATTACCTATGGGGTATGGGTAGATGAGGTGGGTCCGTCTAGCAATCCTTCACAGAAGCTGTACACGCGCCGAGATCCAGCTACGTGCAACGCACAAGCAGAGCTGAGATTTGGCTGTGTCAAGGTTGTCCTTTCATGTTGCTTACAATACTGCTTGTGAACGGGGAACTTTCATGATGCAACCTAGGACGCCAGACATGTTGTGACTGTAAAATGCCTTTAGTGACGTCTTCGAGAGCCCCCTCATGCTGAGGAAAAGCAGACGCGCCATGCATGCTGTGATTTCAAGGCCGCCAAAAACGCTGTTCCTCAAGAGCTGGAAATGGAGGCGCCCCACAAGATCTCTGTACTGGTTCTGTTGTTGGCACTGATTCCCCCGATTTATGGCCGCTGCGCAATATGCATCTCCAGTTGAAGAGACCCGTGAACTCTCATGCAGAAATACAGGAATACTTGCATGCAGCCCCGCTGCAGCATCAGCCTCCGCTTTCACGGACTCACAGGGGAACTTCCCACTGGCGGCTTCGCCAGAGAGCATCACAGCGTCGCAACCGTCGAACCTTCAGGAGCTGTTGGCATGCTCCAACATGGGGGCTGCGCTTATACCCTTTGCATCCCTTCTCGCCCCCTAGCTTGCAACTGTTTTTTTTGATCTGAAGGGGGAACTTCTAGACTTCCAGGTTCATGGCCACTGCCGTAACCCAACTTCCCACACCCGGGAAGCAATTCCCAACAGAAGAGAAGCTGAGAGGATGAAAGGTTCCAGAGCAATTTCCGTGAACGAGCTGATACCGCATAGATCCATAGGACTCTCACCCAGGGCTTGTCGACCTGCTCCTACTCACCTGTCCCAGTGGGCTGATCGCTGCCGGGCTGCACTGCGTTTTGCAAGTCGCTAACTTCCGCGCGGGTTGGCACCGGATTCTCAATCATGCTTTCCTCAGCATATGCGGCTCGGCACAGAAGCGCTCTGTATCATCAAGCGAAACCTTCGCTCAATGTCTCCAGGCCGAGCAACCACCATCTGAGTGGCGTTGATAACGAAGAGGCCAGCCTTGCAACAGGAGGGTGGGACCTTGCTAGTTGGACACCCACGCAGACATTGAGCAAGAAATATGGACGGGACTTAAGGTACTACAAGATGCCGCAGGATGCGGCCTGAGTTGGAGGATTTGTACCTAGTGTCAGAGAGGCAGTGACATCCTCTAGCAGCTACAGCAACAAGTTCAAAGTCTACAGCCGACGCAACGCGCAGAATCCTTAGCCTCAAGCTTGAGTGCCGAGCCTTCTTGGCACGGGCGATGAGCAGCTTCTGAGCGAAGGGGACTCGCTCAAGCTCCAGCTCCACGCCCAAGTCGCCCCTGAGGGTACAAGCAGTCTAGCTCACAGCGACCGCTTGCAGCCGCGTCTTTTTGTTGCTCCGTTTCTGAATTTCATGGCTTCTACACGACGTGGGAAAGCCCGCCTGGCAACCATCAGTGCCTGTGACTTCTCAATGATCCCCTCGATGTTGGTAAGGGCTTGCGGCTTCTCAATCTTCGGGCAAATTTTCCTCAATCGCTGCTTGTCACCCGTTTTGCAGCATGCAAGTCTACAATCTGTGCTCTCCCAGGAACGGTCGCTTCTCCGCTGGAATCTTCAGTCGATCCATGATGTCAACAAGTTCCTGCAGATCCTGGCCCTTCTGGGCGAAGGATACCTTAGCAGCTCAGGACCTGGGGTCCTCCATGTGACTGTCAAAGGTTTGGCTATGGCCTGGTACGTGCTGAACTGAGCACCCTACGCAGATGTACTCGACCGGAGGCTCCAGCTGAAGCAGATACTCAGCATCCTCTATGTCCTGGCTGCAAGAAGGTGGTTAATCACCACGAAACAAGGCATGGGCACCCACTCCAAGCAGTAGCTAGGTGGCAGCCTTGCACAAAGTCAAGACTAGAAGTCCCAGTGCCACAAGCATTGCCTAGCGTTGCCTAGCTGTTGAAACTAAATTCCCCAGCATTTGCAACAGAGAGGTTTTCCAGATTCTCCGACCAGCCCTTCTGCCACCTTCTCCGTGAGGGCGGCGCAGTCGATCTCGCAGTCTGGCACGTTAACGCCCTTGCGCGCCTTCCATCTTCAGATGCTGTTGCATCTTCTTCACGAATGGCTGCAGGCACAAGTTCAGTGCCTTCACGCGTATAACTTAAAGGCCAAATGTACACTCGAGATAACGGGCACCTTCAGCTTCCCACCGCGGACGACCTTCACCTTCAGCTCCTTGCACATTGCAAGCTCAAGCGGGAGTTTGACAAATCCTGTACGCGCTTGCCGGAGTCTTCACGAAAAATGCAGTCACATGCCGAAGAGTAATGCCCAAAGCAGGAAACGTCGGCGTAGAATGTGGGCCGACGGTGTCACGCCGTCAGGCTAGAATTCAGGAAACGGATCTCAGCTGAGATGCCGTGTCAGAAATCTTCTCCACAACGTTGACCTGTCGCGCAGAATCCGGCGCAAAGTCACAGCAGAAGACAGTCGCAGATCCAACAGTCGTGCAGAAAGCGTGGGCCATCTTGGGCAATCTACCTGACATGTAGGCATCTACTTTTTGGAACTGTGCCTTCATGATGCCATCCTCAATGAGCAGGTCCTTAAATGATGGAAGTGGTAAACGTTTGCATAACACGCAAGGCGACATGTGCTCTATCTCAGGCGTTCAGGAAATGCCAACCCAGAGCGGGGCATGCACGCCTTCAACTAAGTCATGTAGGGATGTCGCCGAAGCTACTACAAGAACTCGTACCCAGAAAGCTAATCTGGGCAGGCTTCGATGCCAACTTTGCATGCTTTGACCAACGCCAGCTGTTCCGTGGTTGGCTTCATGGTGATGCGGCCAGGCTTGATGAGATCAGTGTCATCCTCGTCCGAAAGCGGCATGTTTGGGCTTTGCACGGAATGAAACGTAGCTTGAGCTTACGCCAGAGCCCTCCTACGGTGGCCTACGGCTGAAGCCTGGTCATGTTCCATGTGCAAACTTTGACGGCCTTGCAGATGCCGAACTCAACAATCTCGCCATCCACCAGAGGAATAGGCTCCCCAGCCAGCTCGCCCACGCGGAACTTGGGCCCCTGAAGACGATTGACGCTTGGGGATGCCATGGTGTAGCAAACTGAGAGAGATGCTGCTTCATGCCAAGTGGGTATCCTGGAGGAGAATCTACCTTGAAGCCACTCAGAAACCCCACCTGCAGGTCCCCCAGAACCTCCACGCGCCGGCCAAGCATCCTGGCGTACTTCCTGCGTCAAAGTTCTGGCAAAGAGACAAACTGGAAGTCCATATAATGGAAACGCTTTGGTGTATCGGACTATCGGTTGTTGTTCACCACTGCATGTAAGCACAGGGTGATGCATGCACATGGAGCAATTTTTGCATTTTTGGAAATTCCCGGAAGCAAATCCCTCAAGTCTGCGAGCAGACCAGCGGCCTAATGAGCGGATAGACTCGTTCGAAGTCTCCACCACGGCGGTGGGAGCAGTTCAAGCGAAAAATATCCTCAGGTCAGAGATAACGTCTGATGGAACCGCATTGGTGCTGGCACCCAGCAACCCTTGCAGTACAAATGCATTGGTACCCCACAGATTTCGTGCTCCATGCAATGTGAGAGATCGCCACTTGTGCAGCACGAGAGACTGTGCCGGCTTCGATCATTTTTGGGATCATCTCCTACACCACATGCAGGCAATAGGAACGAGATGCTGTGGCAGCTGCGCCATGAAGACGATAGTCAATCTAAAAGGTCAATGCAACCCCAACCTGCGTGCAATCCAAGCTAGCTTGACAGCTGGCCGTGAAGCTGCACCCATCATCTTAAGCAGAAGTGTGGCAAACCTGGACTGTAATATAGCGGAGGTTTGGACCCCCCAAGCTCTCCTCGCTCCAAGAGGCAGGTCCCAGGCTAGCGACGATCTTTGTCTTTCCTGCAAACAGTGATCTGCTGTCAAGTGGGGCTGAGATGCCAAAGGCATCCGGGACTGCGAAGGAAAAAAGACTCTGCTGAGCTTAAACACCCAGGGTTGACCCAAGCCGTAAAATCCAACTTCTATTCAGAGATAGCTCAGAACTTGCAGCTAAAGGCAGATGTCGCAGCATCATACTGAGCCGCCAACGCTTGCTGTGATCAAGCTCCTCCAGGCTGGACCAATTGAGGACGGAACTTCCACCAGAAACCCAGTGCCAAAGCCCTATCAAATGTTGACAATTTCATGCTGGCTGGGGAGGTTCTGGAAACCCTGCGTGCATTCCATAGTTCTGGGATCATGTGCTTCCCAAAGGACCCGTGGTGGAAACTCAGGACACTCAACCGTGGCCCCCTCAAGATCCAAGGCAGGGCTGAAGGTAACACAATTGGACACATGTTCAGGTGCCAAGTGATCGTCCGCCTTTGGGATTCTTGCATGTCTGTAATTTCAGGTTTCTCAGGCTTCAAGCATCACACCATCCGCACATATTGTGTTCCTCGAAGTGGCGCGCACCTATGGAATCCGTAGCGGGGGCACTACAATACATCCCCCTTGGCTACCCCTATGTTCCATCATTCTGCAAGACCTGGCGGTGTTTGCAAAGCCCACTAGTGTCAAGACCTGGGGCTTCAGCGCCATCTTGCAGTCGAGGACTTTAGGGCTAACACCTCAGCATCCAGCTCAGGTCAGCGCTTTTAACGCAAGTAGGTTGTTTTGGAGGCATGCTTTCACTAGGCTATGCCCCGGTGGAAACAGCTTAAGCCCTCCACACTTAGGTTGAACAAAGGAACCTGTGGGAAGTCTGATCCAGGTTCACTTTGACCATTCTCTGACCCTTACCCCAACCAGCTAAGGGCGCTGGTCAGCTGCAATCCTTGAGCTTAGACGAATTCGGAGGTTTCCTGTGCTGCTACTTAATACTACTACTCCTCCTCCTACTACTACGCCTCCTACTACTACTTGCTACTACTCCTTCTACTCCTACTACTCCTACTCATCCTCCTACTACTACTACTACTACTACCACCACAACCACGACTACCATGATCACTACCACTACGGCTGTCGCTAGACTTCTCCTCAGGCGTGGCCACAAAAACAACCTGCGCTGCAGCTTGGGCTCTGTACTTGTGCATGATGAGGGCCAATGTGAATTTCACATACTCGGGGAATTTGATGAAGGAGATGGCCTGCCAACAAGGCAGAGAGGCATGCCGCGTGACGACTACAGCAGGTGCAAAGACTTGGGGTAGTAATCGACCATGCTTGCTCCAACAATAAGAATGGGACAAGCCAAAGAACTGAACAGGCTGTTAAATGTCCACATTGCTTGCCCCTTCCCTCTACATCCTCCATGTCAAGCACTGCGGTGACAGCTGTTCATAAACCTTGGCAACCCCTGAGAGTGCTCGACTTCTTAATTTGAGCCGAGCTGCAGGCTCCCCTTCACGGCCGCATGCTGTGAAGGCATACACGGAGTCTTGCTGCAGGGACCAGCCGTACCTAAGAACTCAAAGGTCGCCTGCAAATCTTGTCCTTGCAGCATCCCGCAAAGAAGGTCGAATGCGCCGTGAGAAACTGTCAGCCACTGCCGTCCCTAGAAGAGTCTGTATTAAATCTGAACACTCTACAGCAACCCGGAGCTCGACCAGCACCATACACTCCAGTTGGTCTCTTCTGGCATCAGCCCAAACTCAGGAAGCTTGCGCTGGCACGTTCTTCTCTTGTACGCAACCTTGGAAATCCGCTGCATTGAAACCTGCCCAGGAGCTTGTTCTGGAGGATGGCCTGCGAGTAGGACTCCGGAAGGGCCTGGCATTTTCCAAGCATCTCGTATAGAGAGGTCTTCGAACGCTCTCGTTCTGCGTTGATAGCTTTTGCGGGAGTTTGCCCTTCAGCTCGGGTGGGAGCTGAAGCGGGAAATCACCTTTGACTGACTACTATGTGCGGGTGCATGTCTCTAGTTACCTGCACGTTGGCAGCCCGTACTCTAGAATCGAACTAGAGTAGCAGCCCATTAGTAACACAGGCAATCCAGAGCCAGAAACTAGAAGGGCCGGCCGCAAGTAGAGCTTTCCAGAGGCCCACACCCTCGAGCTTCTCATGCTGAAAAACCTGAATGCTGCTAGACGAAGGGGGTTTGGGCATTGGGTTCTAAATTAAATGAATCACAAACTCCTGCCTGCAAACTCGCTAACTCCTGCTTTTCACTAAGCCTCATATGAGTGTTGATGATCCCCAGCTGCAATGTCACGGCATGGTGGAGGCGTTGAGCTCGGCTCAGGGAAGCTATCCTGCATCCAAGGTGCGTCGTGCTTCTTGAAGATCGCCCAGCACCTCAATCAAATGGCAACATTTTCCGCCAAAGAGCGCCAGCAATAAGTGGCACCAACAACGGACAACGGACAACGGAAACCTTCACCTCCCTAATCCTCGCAAGCAGTCTTTCATCCACGGCACTCGTCAAGAAACTCCTCATGGCAGGGCACACGGGTGACGATAATCAGCAGCAGCTGTAGCTGTACCCGGGTGCAGCTGACCGGCTACGCAGTTTCTACAGTACATGGCAACCGTGGTCCTTGGCAAGAACCTTGGTCCTCACTGCCTTTGGCAGCCTGCACGGGCCAGCATGTTGAAGCAGGCGAGATCTATAAGAGATTTCGCTTCATTGCAATGCAAACTGACAGCGCGAGGCTTCGTCAAGAGCTTGTTGACGTTGATATCTTCGCGTCGATACATGGCCTTGGACGTTGAGAAGGGCTTTTCAGCTACAGCACCCTATTTAGTTTCTGAAGGTCTTGAACCCAAGTGGCACTGCCAAACTATCGATGCTCAATGGGTGGGTCGAAGCACGCGCGATGCCCGAAGACTTGCTGAGCCCAAACAGCACAAGCCGCAGCTAGTCACTGTACAGAAAACGAAAACTCCAAATCACAACATGCTGTAGGACTCCACTCAGATGTGAAAGCATGCATCCAGGTCCGCCACATGTCACGCTGCAGTTTCAACTACCACTCGAAGACAACTCCCATCACTGGCTTACACCCCTCAATCACCTAACGCCGTGCAGCTACCAAGCAGCCAGCCTCCTGCGACCTGGCCATGAGGTCACCCAAAATTCAGGGCCCAGGGCATGAGGGCCTCAGTACAAGCTCATGTCATGCGGTACTAGGGCGATATCAACTCAGAACAGCTTTCCTGATCAGGAAACGTTCTACACAGACTTTCTTTGTATGAAACCTCTTTCTCAAGCAGGATTGCACTCAACATTCGTTGATGGATTCTTGGGTGCCAGGCTGCTTGATAGCCCTCTGCCCCTCGCCCGTCTGAGCCAGAAAGCCACGGCGCCACGGCCCTCTTGCTCCCAGCTGAGATCTGCTGTCCAGCTGGCATACTCTGCACGGGGATCGTCTGCACAGATATGCTCCTGTCTTCGCACATCTAGAGGGCTCGTTGGACTAGGTGCCTTTTTGAAAACCCTTGCATGGCAAGGGGGCTGCGTGCGAGAGGCGCTACTCTGGGCGCGAGCGAATGTGGCAGAGACGCTGCTGGTGAGTGCCCATGCCAAGAAAAACGATCATCGCTGTTCTCCGCGCCGTCCCTCAGCGCCCGTGGCAGGATGTACGCACAACTGCGTCGTCTATCTAGCTCATTCATGTTAGCGGCAGTCTGTGCCTCGCATCCCTGAGCATGGATCCCAAATCCGACGCCGTCTGGCGGGGCTCTGCCCGGTAGACGGTTACAAGCGAAGTCCCTCTCTCGCTGAGAGGGCTTCAGGTAGCCTTCCGCTGGCCACAACCTGCCAGCCGCAGATAACCGTAAGGGGACTTCTATACCTTGGCCGCCATCGAGGACGTTCAGGCTGCAGCAAGCTTCGCAACATTTCCGGGCCAAATCCTGCTTAGCAGGATCGGGCAGCAGAAAAGCACGAGCTGACAGTGATAATGCCACTCTTTGTGTTCAGCGCTGGCTGCAAATTGTCACAGCCCTGCCATCTGCCGCGACACCGGCGGGTCATTAAACTGCACAAGGGCCATCATCTTCAAGAGTTGATTCTTGTCGACTTTTCACTTCCCGACGTCTGACCAGCATCAACTCAGGGGGAGGCCTCAGGGCGGGGTTGGGCAGTCTCTTTCAAGATTGCAACCGTCACCCAGTTAGGAGACCATGCTGCTTCCTGCAGAGGTCTGTACAAGGAGCCGCGCTACCATTCTTATTAGTTACGCACCTTTGCGCATCTCCTCGGCGGCTTGCTACATCATGCCTGGAACGAGACACAATTTCACGAGTGTAAAACCATATCAAATCTATTTCTTGGAACAGAACCAAACATCTGATATCGTATAATCCCATATAATCCCTGTACAACCCATTATAGTAGCTTCCGTTTTCTTTTCAATTATGCCATGACAGCGGTTTCTATATGACCCATGTAGCTGCTTCAGTTAAGATAGGCCTGGTGCTCTTCGTTGAGACCTCTGTCAGCACAGCAGGGACAACCTTAAGCTCGGTAGTTTGCCTTCGATAGACCCCTAAAAGGCTGAAGGACCGAAAACAAGAAGATTAAGTGAAGGTTACCTAGGGATTATAGGGTGTACCTGGGGATAAATTGGGGTAAGATTGGGATAATGGAAAAAAATGGAAACTGGGGTGTTGGAAAAGTCGGGCGCC